CCCCCACCAATATCTCCCCAGTGGGCCGGTTCATCACCCCCACCAATATCTCCCCAGTGGGCCGGTTCATCACCCCCACCAATATCTCCCCAGTGAGCCGGTTCATCATCCCCAACCAATACCCCCAAGTGGGCCGGTTCACCCCCTCACAAAATATCCCCAGTGTGCCAGCTCATCATCACCTCCAATATCTCCCAAGTGGGCCAGCTCATCATCACCTCCAATATCTCCCCAGTGGGCCAGCTCATCATCACCTCAAATATCTCCCCAGTGGGCCGGTTCCTCACCCCCATTTTGTCATTCGAAATGCACGAGCTTGGAGCCATTTACCCGCAAGTTGAACGTGGCGGCCATTACAAACCCAGACACTGTGCGTCACTGGAGAAGACGGTTGTACTTATCCCGTACCGGAACCGATGTCCGCACCTTCAGGCACTACTTCCGGTCCTGATCCCCATGTTGATTCGCCAAAACGTGGAGTTTACCATTGTCCTTGTTGAACAGGTGAACAATGCAATGACCAATGGGTGGTAGCTGTTGACCTGTTGTTGCTACTAGTTTGGTTTGAATGACAATTGTTTAATTTCACTCAGTTTTGCTCGCCTAACATTGAGTCTCTTTTCTACTTATGCTGCTTCTAAAAACACAAATTGGCTTTGGTTTTAATTACGGTTGTCAGATGGCATGTGTTTAGCTATTGCGTTCTCTTTTACTAGCCCTGTGTACGTGCCGTGTCTTAATTTCGACCTGCTTTATTTTTTTGTTTTTTGGGGGTTTTTTGTTCGTCACGTCGTCTCTGAATTAAATCAGCATTTTCATTTTTTTTTGTTTTTGGGGCCATCTATTACCTCAAGTGTGGCTGGTTTTAGTTAATTAGTCTAGCTCGTATTTAATCCATTATTTACCTCAAGTGTGGCTGGTTTTAGTTAATTAGTCTAGCTCGTATTTAATCCATTATTTACCTCAAGTGTGGCTGGTTTTAGTTAATTAGTCTAGCTCGTATTTAATCCATTATTTACCTCAAGTGTGGCTGGTTTTAGTTAATTAGTCTAGCTCGTATTTAATCCATTATTTACCTCAAGTGTGGCTGGTTTTAGTTAATTAGTCTAGCTCGTATTTAATCCATTATTAACCTCAATTTTTAAAGCTGATTCTTGTGCATCCTATGTCTCAATTTTTTTAAACGTTTTTTAAAGACTTCCTCTCTACTGATATGTGTTGATGTGTGGATGGGTTGATTTTTTGTTTACGCTCGTGAAATTGTCGCTCAGTTGATCATTTTCTCGTGCAGTGGTCACCTGAAAGGGGATGATTGTCTGGCAAAGTGGTCACCTGAAAGGGGATGATCGTCTGGTAAAGTGGTCACCTGAAAGGGGATGATCGTCTGGTAAAGTGGTCACCTGAAAGGGGATGATCGTCTGGTAAAGTGGCCACCTGAAAGGGGATGATCGTCTGGTAAAGTGGTCACCTGAAAGGGGATGATCGTCAGGTAAAGTGGTCACCTGAAAGAGGATGATCGTCTGGTAAAGTGGTCACCTCAATGGGGATGATCGTCTGGTAAAGTGGTTACCTGAAAGGGGATGATCGTCTGGTAAAGTGGTCACCTCAATGGGGATGATCGTCTGGTAAAGTTGTCACCTGAAAGGGGATGATCGTCTGGTAAAGTGGTCACCTGAAAGGGGATGATCGTCTGGTAAAGTGGTCACCTCAATGGGGATGATCGTCTGGTAAAGTGGTCACCTGAAAGGGGATGATCGTCTGGTAAAGTGGTCACCTGAAAGGGGATGATCGTCTGGTAAAGTTGTCATCTGAAAGGGGATGATCGTCTGGTAAAGTGGTCACCTGAAAGGGGGTGATCGTCTGGTAAAGTGGTCACCTGAAAGGGGATGATCGTCTGTTAAAGTGGTCACCTCAAAGTGGATGATCGTCTAGTAAAGTGGTCCGCGGCGCTTGTCGGGTGAGTGATCGGGTGGTTTTGTGTGTTCTCTTTCTTGTTGTATGATTGTATGCCCAGGTAAAGAGTTAGGTCACTTCAATCAGGATTGTGTAAGCATTCGATGTTTTAAAGAGTCATTATTTCTACTTTTGATATTAAAAAAGAACAAGCTTAAAGTTTAATGCTTAAAAGTAGGAAAGCATATTTTTATCTTTTTATTTAATTTTTTTGTTAAAAAACTCTTTTATCAATGGAGAGTTTAAACTAAAAGTAGAAATTAATGGAGAGTTTAAACTAAAAGTAAAATTTAATGGAGAGTTGAAACTAAAAGTAAAAATTAATGGAGAGTTAAAACTAAAAGTAGAAATTAATGGAGAGTTTTAACTAAAAGTAGAAATTAATGGAGAGTTTTAACTAAAAGTAGAAATTAATGGAGAGTTTTAACTAAAAGTAGAAATTAATGGACAATTTCTTGACATCAATTAATAATTCTGTGCAGACTGTTTTAACAAATTAGTAATAATAAAACATTTTTAAGTTCGTCCACATTCAATTCGGATCCTTTGGCTACAAAGGGTGCTACATAAAGTGCTTCATTGAGTGCTACATAGAGTGCTACATATAAGGCTACAAAGGGTGCTACATAGAGTGCTGCATTGAGTGCTACATAGAGTGCTACATATAGGGCTACATATAGGGCTACAAAGGGTGATACATATAGCGCTACACTGAGAGCTACATAGAGTGCTGCATAGAGTGCTACAAAGGGTGCTACATAGAGTTCTCAGAAACAATTTGTATTAAAATGTAATCTCAATTTATTTTTTGTCACAAGTTTGTCAATTTGTTTGTTGTTGTTTTCTACGCTGTTGGATGTTGTTGTTTTCTACGTTGTTGGATGTTGTTGTTTTCTACGTTGTTGGATGTTGTTGTTTTCTACGTTGTTGGATGTTGTTGTTTTCTACGTTGTTGGATGTTGTTGTTTTCTACGTTGTTGGATGTTGTTGTTTTCTACGTTGTTGGATGTTGTTGTTTTCTACGTTGTTGGATGTTGTTGTTTTCTACGTTGTTGGATGTTGTTGTTTTCTACGTTGTTGGATGTTGTTGTTTTCTACGTTGTTGGATGTTGTTGTTTTCTACGTTGTTGGTTGTTGTTGTTTTCTACGTTATTGGATGTTGTTGTTTTCTACGTTATTGGATGTTGTTGTTTTCTACGTTATTGGATGTTGTTGTTTTCTACGTTGTTGGATGTTGTTGTTTTTTACGTTGTTGGATGTTGCCACAGGTATCTGACAACACGTTCAACAAAGGCGTTTTATTCAACGCTGGCTTCCTAGAGATGCTCAAGCTGGACAACTATGATTGTTTCATCCTCCACGACGTGGACATGATACCCCTTGACGACCGGAACCTGTACCGATGTAACAAGCACGGACCTGTCCACTACTCGGCAGCGGTCAGCAAACACGACTATGGGTAGGATATGTTAAACACACGTCCACCCTAAGTATTTAGTTTGACAGCCTGGACCGACCCAAAAGATCAGTTTCCGCCCACAGAGATAGCAGAGCCACGACATAGCTGACCGACTTCTGTATCATTGCTGAGTGCTAATACCAAGCCACGTGACTTCTGTATATTTTCTGCAGTGCTAATACCAAGCCACGTGACTTCTGTATATTTTCTGCAGTGCTAATACCAAGCCACGTGAATTCTGTATCATTGCTGTAGTGCTAATACCAAGCTACGTGAATTCTGTATCATTGCTGCAGTGCTAATACCAAGCCAGGTGACTTTTGTATCATTTCTGCAGTGCTAATACCAAGCCACGTGACTTCTGTATCATTGCTGCAGTGCTAATACCAAGCCACGTGACTTATATGTATATCCTATTTCCGTGCACTTTGAAAGTAGCTCTGATGTATTCCAGCACTCTGTACTCAGGGATCTTTGGCGGCGTGGTCAGCTTCACACGTGATCAGTTCCGTAAGATCAACGGAGCCTCCAACATGTACTTTGGGTGGGGAGCTGAGGACGATGACCTCAGAGACAGGTGAGCTCCTCTAGTCGAGATGACCGGGTCGACAATCATTTAACGGAAACAAATTTGTATAAAGTGAGAGCATTTTAATAAAATTGTATTTATCGTTGTTGATTCCATTTCTTGTTGTTGTTCCAACAACATTCCTTTGTACAAATTGGTTTCGTTCTTAACTATTTCATATTATTAATTACTCCCGCATTTAAAAAAGTTTTTGTCTATGGAACAATGTCAAGTGATTCTCACCCTGTTTGTTTCTGATCCCAAGAGTTGTCCGCAAGAAGTTTCCTTTGTACAGGCGTCCCCTGGAATACGGCGTTTATGACATGATGAGACATGACCTGGACAAGGGCTGGGACAGAAACCCAGACAGGTTGGTCACTGCGTCCCGTTACGGCTCAACGATATCCTTAAAGCACAGAGTAGACAACTAAAATATCCTTATAGCATAGAGTAGACAACTAAAATATCCTTTTAGCATAGAGTAGAGAACTAAAATATCCTTATAGCATAGAGTAGACAACTAAAATATCCTTATAGCATAGAGTAGACAACTAGAATATTCTTATAGCATAAAGTAGACAACTAAAATATCAGATACGCGACGGTTTCCTCTGTACAAGCCACAACGTTATCTACGCCATTGTCTGCACCCGCTGTCAGATGACATACATAGGGGAGACTGGACGCCGTCTCTCGGACAGGTGTACCGAACACCTCCGAAACATTACACAAGATAAACAGTGTCCCGTCTCCAAACACTTCAATAGTAGTGACCACCAGGGCAAGGCGGACTTTTCAATAAGTGCGATTGTGGCCAGCCCGAACACCGCCAGCCGTGTCAATTTGGAACACAGACTTATCCTGACTTACGGCACTTTGACGCCAGATGGGATTAATGTTATGTCTCTGTTCACAGCTTGACCCTAGCTCCGCCCTTCCACGTTCTGACCTATCACAGTGAACATTTTTCTCCCCCCTTTTTTCGCCGCTGCTTATTTAAACTCTCAATCATTTTCCTTCTGCCACACTTCTATTGCTGCCCACAGATACTACTTTTCAGCTAAGTGTTATTTCTATTTTTATACCGTTTTTTCTGTTGTTTTGTTCGCTGACGAAGGCTTTCTGCCGACACGTTCTCTGTTTTGTTGCGTGTATTTTTTCAGGTTTAACCCTACTCTGTTTTAATCATTTTATGTTCTACTAACCTGATTGCAGTCTCTCCCCTTATTACTCCCCTAAAATATCCTTATAGCATAGAGTAGACAACTAAAATATCCTTATAGCATACAACAGACAGCTAAAATATTCTTACAGCATAGAGAAGACAACTAAAATATCCTTTTAGCATAGAGTAGACACCTAAAATATCCTTATAGCATACAACAGACAGCTAAAATATTCTTTTAGCATAGAGTAGACAACTAAACAATCCTTATAGCATAGAGTAGACAACTAAAATATCCTTTTAGTATAGAGTAGAAAACTAAAAAATCCTTATAGCATAGAGTAGACAACTAAAATATCCTTTTAGTATAGAGTAGAAAACTAAAAAATCCTTATAGCATAGAGTAGACAACTAGAATATCCTTATTGCATAGAGTAGACAACTAGAATATTCTTATTGCATAGAGTAGACAACTAGAATATTCTTATAGCATAGAGTAGACAACTAAAATATTCTTATAGCATAGAGTAGACAACTAAAATATTCTTATAGCATAGAGTAGACAACTAAAATATTCTTATAGCATAGAGTAGAGAACTAAAAAATCCTTATAGCATAGAGTAGACAATCATAATTTCCTTATGACAGATTGAACAACCACAATCTCCTGGGAAACTTCCCCAAAGTGTTACACATTCAAATATAGCCAGCACCTAAGGTCTACAACTGACACCACGTGCCCGCCTACCCATTGATACGCCACTGACGCGTCATGGTCGCATCACTGTTCTAATTCTTGGCTCATGAAAAAAATGGTTTCTTTTTTTGAACCTGGAATTATATGGTGATAATAAATGTGTCACATTACTAACCACACTATTAATGTCTCCTTTAATGCATACATAACTTTAAATATATAAGCGCCACCCAGGGCCGTGTGAAGTGGAGACGCGAAAGGGACACTCACCCCGGCCCAAAAATCAGGGGTGGTGTGTGTGGCTAAATCGTCTTTGGATAGGACATTGATTATGAATTGAACGATAAAATCCTTCGAAGACAATAGGCGCAAAAAACATCTTCTACAATGGTTGTTACGTTCTTCTATATATTTTAAAGGGTCTTTGCATTTCCTGGGTATGATCCCGGTGCCACTAGCTGTCGAGTTTGGCTGACTTCACAAAGAGATCAACTCACTATACGAACTCTATCAAATACTTGACCCCTGACCTCATCTGTGACGTACTTCTGCCCCGTAGCGTTGTTTGGTTATTCGTGTCTGTTGATGACCTGTGTGACGTAGATGTGCCTGCCGGCCATCGACTGTGAGAACATAAAGACGACGTTTCCTTTGATGTGCACCTCCACCTCTCTACACGCACACACACGCAAACCAAACACAAAACTTACGTCATTGAGTCCATCTTAATACATCATAGTACAGATGTGGGTGAGGGTGTGGCTGGAACTGAAAAAGGGAAACATTTTAATCCACAATGAGTGCAGTAGATCATCGAGTATCCGAAATGTTTGTTCATCCGAACAGCTTTGGCCATTACTAATAATAATAGTAGTAGTATTGTAGCAATACGCCAATGACCTTTCCGTGGTAGAGTTTGGATATCCGACATTTTTGTTCTCGGAAACGCCCCCACGCCACTCCCACTCCCCGGTCATGATTTGTTTGTAAACTGGACGCCCTACTGAACATGTTTTGTCAGGTTCAAGAACCTGGGCATGAGATGGGCAAGACAAGACGTGGACGGTCTCAACTCTGTCCTCTACAACATCACGGGGATCAAGCGGTTTCCTCTCTACACGTGGGTGGGCGTGGTCATTGACAAGCTCAAGATCTTGAAAGTAAGACATTTGATTGGCTAAGAAAAATTTGACTTTCAGAATTTTTTTTCTTCTGCACTTTGCCATGTAAATTATTAAATGATCAGTGGACAATTTTTATTATTTCATTCGATCACTTCTTAAATTTAAAAGAAAAACTGATTTTGAATTCCAAAAACGTGGTTCTTTGATTGAATAAATACAAAAATATTTGGTGAAAATCCATAATGTATCCAATAGATTATAAAATGTATGTGTAAGCACTTTGAAACCTACCCTTAGTTCGGTGGTCTCAAATAAATATTATGTTAGCTTTTATTCTAAATAAGCGGCTAACTTATGTATGTATGCATAGAGGTCAGGTAAAAGAGGTCAGGTAAAAGAGGTCAGGTAATAGAGGTCAGGTAATAGAGGTCAGGTAATAGAGGTCAGGTAATAGAGGTCAGGTAATAGAGGTCAGGTAATACTTCCTTTGGAGTAAAATTAAAACGATGAGCACGTGCTGTAAGATGATAACTTCATCTTCTTACAAAACACAACATAACAGCCCGTCCACTTACATTTGTTCATGTGTCTTACAGCCCGTCCACTTACATTTGTTCATGTGTCTACAGACAGCCCACTAACATTTGTTCGTGTGTCTTACCGACCGTCCAATTATATTTGTTCCTGTGTCTTACAGACCGTCCAATTATATTTGTTCCTGTGTCTTACAGACCGTCCAATTATATTTGGTCGCATGTCTAAAAGACCGTCCACTTACATTTGTTCGTGTGTCTTACAGGCGGTCCACTTACATTCGTTCTTGTGTCTTACATTTGTTCCTGTTTCTCTCAGCCCTTCTACTTACATGTGTTCGTGTGCCTTACAGATCTTCCACATACATTTGATCTTGCGTCTTATAGTCAGTCCAATTACATTTATTCGTATGTCTTAAAGACCATCCACTTACATTTGGTCCTGTGTCTTACAGACATTCCACTTACATTTGTTCGTATGTCTTACAGACAGCCCACTAAAATTTGTTAGTGTGTCTTACAGAAACTTGTCCTATCTTACAGACCGTTCCATTTCATCTTGTCCTGTCTTTCAGACCGTGACATTACATCCTTATGTGTTTTACAGTCGTTGCCCTAACAACTTGTCATGTCTTACAGACCGTGCCATTACATCCTGTCCTGTCTTTCAGACCGTGCCATTACATCCATATCTGTTTTACAGTCGTTGCCCTAACAACTTGTCCTGTCTTACAGACCGTGCCATTACATCTTGTCCTGTCTTTCAGACCGTTCCATTACATCTTTTCCTGTTTTACAGTCGTTGCCCTAACATCTTGTCCTGTCTTTCAGACCGTGCCATTACATCCTTATCTGTTTTACAGTCGTTGCCCTAACAACTTGTCCTGTCTTACAGACCGTGCAATTCAATCTTGTCCTGTTTTACAGACCGTGCCAGTACATCCTTATCTGTTTTACAGTCGTTGCCCTAACAACTTGTCCTGTCTTACAGACCGTGCAATTCCATCTTGTCCTGTTTAACAGACCGTGCCATTACACCTTTTCCTGTTTTACAGACCGTGCCATTACATCTTGTCATGTATTACAGACCGTTCCATTACATCTTGCCATATATTACAGACCGTGCCATTACATCTGCAATACGGAGACCGTGATGGGCCGAGTGATGTGAACGTCAAGTTTGTGGTAGCTGAATGATCACACTTCCGGTCTGTGGAAGAGAAACCTTTCAGGTTTTCTGGAGAAATTTTAAACAGGAATAGATGTTTTCGTTGTACAGAAAACGTAATTTATTGATAAACATCTAAAAGTAGATCATCTGAACCAAGTTAGCCTTAAAGTAGAACAGTGGCGTTGGAAAGGTGGGTGGAAGGGGCGGGCTATCCCGGGTTAAACTTTTTTCTTTGTATGTAGGGGCGTCTTTTTTCCGTTGAAGTTTAGGGGCGAGTGTAAAATATATTCCCACCCGGATGGAATTATCTTCATCTATGCCACTGAGTAGAACATTTTAGAGTAGACTAAAGGATGAATGCTGTTAAGACAAGCGGTTTGATTTATTGCGATGTTCGGATACTTATTTAATGCACTCTCTGTAACAGCAGGCATCCCTCAAATGATATAGCCCAACTGTGTATGCACTCTCTGTAACAGCAGGCATCCCTCAAATGATATAGCCCAACTGTGTATGCACTCTCTGTAACAGCAGTCATCCCTCAAATGTTATAGCCCAAAAGTGTATGCACTCTCTGCAACAGCAGTCATCCCTCAAATGATATAGTCCAACTGTGTATGCACTCTCTGTAACAGCAGGCATCCCTCAAATGATAAAGTCCAACTGTGTATGCACTCTCTGTAACAGCAGGCATCCCTCAAATGATATAGCCCAACTGTGTTATCGCTGTCAGCAATGTTGTTTATCATGTGAGATGTCAAGGCCATCCATCATGGCGGAGACAACATAAAACGTCACCGAAAGAACAACGGGCAAATGTCTGCAGAAATCACACTGACAGAATTCAAGCCAAGAGACAATCAAAACAGATTTAAGGGGAAATAGTCCCGACTTCCTGAAATGCTTTTTATAAGTAATTTCCCTTATTTCAAATTAGTTTTCTCTTTCCTTATGCACAACGTTTGCTTTGCTCAGCGTGTGTGTTCATTCACTGTTTTGTGGAATCGGTAACACATTCAACTTAAATAATCAAATGTAATGTAATATAATGTGTACATGTAGTAGTTTCATCTTCCAAAAAAAAAAATTAAAAAATTTGTTACAGTTTAAATATCGTCTGAGTTGTTTTCAAACATTAAATTTTCATATTTTATTTTATTTTATTTGTTCGTTCACTACACGTCTGTATTTATTAAACTATTTGGATCAGTTGCGCTTGAATGTTGGCACATGTGTTGGATCAGTTGTGCTTGAATGTTGGTACATATGTTGGATCAGTTGTGTTTAAATGTTGGCATCTGTTGATCAGTATTTAAATCTGCATACGTCCGCCTATGACCTGTGATGCACCCTCCTTGCCCTGCCTCATTTTCTGTCTCGGGTTGATCCTGTAGTATAGGCCAAAACGTGCCAAAGTCTACTCGTTTTTATAGCCATTTTAATGTTTAAGCTACTGTTTCTATAGTCATTTTTAACATAGTTGTGACTATTCTAGTGTCTCTGGTTTTTCATTTTTATTTTACTTTTGCAGTTTAAATAGTTTACACATTTTTAATAATTGTAAAGCGCTTAGAGCTGTAAGGTAAGCGCTATACAAAAATGCCTAAATAAATAAATAAATCTGAGTTTTTTAAAATAATAAATTGAAAGGTTCCTGAAGAGAGTTTACTATTTATGGTAAGCTGTCTGAAGTGAGTATCCTTGAATGTCGGGGGGGGGGGGGGGTCCGTTGTTGGTCACTTTAAAGTTGCAAGTATTGTGGTAGGACAATTCGGCAAATGTATAAAGGTTATCACCCTGATATCTTCATCGTATCTTGGTTTTGAAAATAAGTTATCAACTTCTACGTGGCAATTCGAGGGAGAGATGTTTACTTTAACTTTGCTGATGAAGCTAACTTTAAAAAAAAACAACGTTTAAGTAGCATACTTAACAGATGCGCCCTAAGGGCGGTATGAAATGTGATCCTTGCGCCCTAAGGGCTGTATGAAATGTGATCCTTGCACTGACAGGAAACAAGCATTCAATTCCGATCCTACATTTGTATCGAAACCAAAAAGTCAGTTCTGCAAAATGTAAATCTGGGCAACGCCACAATGTTTGATTGAAGAAGTCTGCAGTGTGGTTTCAGAAATCTGGATAGTGAATTGGTTGGTCTTTTGTAACATGAGATTGTTGCTCACTTTAGATCAGCCACCATTTTCAGAGTGACGAGGCATTCTTAAATCCTTTTTATTAATTACTTTGCCGATGACAACACATTCTAGTTAACTGTCGGCACTGCTGGAGTTGTCTTTCAAGTCTTTTCCCTGACAGCCTCGTCATGTCTGTGTGAGGGTGTATGTTTCAGTTGTCTTTCAAGTCTTTTCCCTGACAGCCTCGTCATGTCTGTGATTGTGTAATCATTTCCTTATATCCAAACCACAACGATGACAAAACCAACTAGATTGTAATATTGACGCTACCTTTGACGTAGCCACCATAATCTGAAGTCAGTTCCCCATACATGAACGGACTGAAAATACAATCATAACATTTTTTTTAAAGTTTGAAATATATTGTGTAATATCATTTGATGTGAACTTGTTAACTGGCGTTCTGCCTTTCTTTTTTCTTTTTTTTTAAATACTTGACAACAAAGGATTGTTTAGTTGGAGAGTTACCAAGCTATCAAAAAACGGGAATTTCTTTTCAAACAATTTTGAGAAATCCTGACCCATTTAAATCATTGAGATGCGAAAAAGATCAGTGCTAGATCAGAAATCAACTACACGACTACGGAGAGAGCGTTATCATGAATGAATAGTGATTGAATCCTGCTCTATTTGAACAACTTGTGTGTACAGCTAACAGATATGGACTCACGCTATTTGAACAACTTGTGTGTACAGCTAACAGATATGGACTCACGCCACAGTGTAGCTAGATAAGGGTTGCTTCAGAAAGAAAAACAAATTGGCATTATTTTTATATTGTGCAAAACAAAAAAATACACACGGAGAAAGAAAAGACTTTGATTATAAAAATAAAAATGATAAAAGGCAGAACAAATAATTTATTTTTAACTCATAAAGAAATTTTTCTAGTCCAGCTTGACTCATTCATTTAAAAAAGAAGTCCATTCCAATCACTCACTCTTTCATACACCGTTCCAATCATACACTATTATGAGTTTGTTAGTCAGTCGGAAGTCGACCATGACCACTGTAATCACCAGAGTTTGTGCTGGTTCTGTCTGTGGGTGCGCAGATGGCTAATGAGGCCGATTCTGGCAAGGAATTCTCTTGTGCAGTAGGTGCAGGGGAATGGTGGCGCATCTCCGGGAGCAGAGTCAGACCGGGCCTTCCTGGCATGTCTCTTGCGCTCTACAGCCGCTGTTCTGCCAACTTCATGTTGCATGGAGCTCCTGTAGAAAGTGGAACGCCATGAAGTTCGTTCCTTTGCTTGTTCCTCCCACGTGTCTATGTTTATGTTGAACGCTTTCAGTGAGGCTTTTAGGTTGTCTTTAAAGCGTTTTTTCTACCCGCCAGCAGACCGTTGTCCTTGTTCAAGCTAACCATAGAAAATTCTATTTTTTTGGGAAGACGATCATCTGACATTCTCACAACTTGTCCCGCCCAGCGAAGGTTGGTACTTCATCAAGATTGTGAAGATGCTGGGGAGACCTGCCCGTGTGAGCACCTCAGTGTCTGGGACCATGGACGCCCGCAGAAAACTTTCTAGGGGGGAAAAAAATCGATTAACTTTCAAGGGGGGGCAAAAACATTTTAGTAATGTTTTAGTATAGTTTTAATTTATTGTAGCGTATTTGTATTGTAAACGAACGGACAGGACATCAGCTTAGTTACTTTCTCTTTATTTTCTCTTTACTTTAATACATTTTTTGTCTATTTTTGTCTAAAATTTTTTATCCAATCAATCCAGGGGGAGGGGGGCAACTGCCCCCCTTGCCCCTCCCTGCAGGCGCCCATGTCTGGGACCCTGTCCTGGCATTTAATGTTGAGGTTTTTTTCTGAGTCTTGTTGTATGAAAGTGGTTCAGCATTCTTGCATGGCGTTGGTAGACCGTCCATGTTTCACAGGCGTAAAGAAATATATCAGGCGGCTGTTCCCCTTACTCTACGCTACTCTACGCTACTCTACGCTACTCTGTCATACACACCAATGGCAAACACACTCAGATGCAAAATGTAAACACAGTCTTCACCCAGAAAAGTTCATTGGAACTGTGTGATCAATAGTGTCTCACTCTACTGTGGGCACGCTTCTTCCCACCCTCATGTGCGCATGCGTAGAAAAAGCAGACGCCCGATCCCTTTAACTGTTCCATGCAAGAATTTGTGGACATTTTGTCTTCCATAAATGTCATGAATAATGAGCACGTGTGTGCACCAATAAATCTGTGGCTTGGAAGTTGATACTTTCGGTTGGTTTCTTTGGACGTGATTCGGGGGGGGGGGGGGGGGGGGGGAAGGGTTAAAAATTCAAACATAGAAATGTTATATAATGTCATGGGAGTGGTCGATGAAATATTATAAAATGTTTATAACGGTAAAGGGTGGCTCCAAAATGTCATACTTTTATGTTATATACATAATAATATTTGGACGGCCCCATTACAAGGTATTCTCTCTTGGTAAAAGTGTCTACATATGTGCATAGAGAGTGTCACGGCAAGGTCACGGTATATGAATTTTTTTTTAATTAATTGGTGTCCCATGTTAGTCTATATATTATCAAAATGTTTAATAAATTCAAGACTTTATCACAAAACTATTGCGTCTTACTTATCATGTCCTATTGGGGCGCAAGTCAAATTTTCAGCATATATATATATATATGTTTCTTAATCAAAGGCCGCTCACTCCATTTTCTATTTTATATTCATTAAAAGATTTTTAAAAATTGAGAGAAATATCCATTTTGAGAACTGCGCACCATCTCACTTCCGGGAATGCGTGACGTCACACTATCATGGCGGACGGATTGATGGACGCAGTAAATGATGGCAAAAGACATGCTTTGTCTGAGAGTCTGGGGAGTGACCTTCGCCTTGCTGTGGTCAGGTCAGTGGTTCTATTAGCTGGGTATCGTTTGGGGCTACAAAACCAAAATTATTTCACACTTATCTAATAAAGGCTTTAGAGATACTAGTAAGGTTGGACATAACTTGGTCTTTG